ATTGGCCGCCGATGTAAAGTAGTTGTCGATCGATATGTCGTTATACTGTGAATCAAATTAATAGTCAATCAATTTTAATTGAAAACATAAATAACTAATTAATCAATTAATACCGATTGATAATATTGCTCAAGCAAATGGTCTCTCATTGTCCACTCGGGATAAGCGACCTTATGTTTAATATAATCCACTTTTCTCATCGCCTCCGCCTTTGTCTGTATATCCATCCATTCATTTTCAGTAATGGATATTAAAAATGATTTTTGAACTAATTGTGTCAATTCATTCATTTCGCGCACGTATTTGGGGCTAAAATATTTGTCCACAAAGAGGCGGCCCAACAGATCGGGCAACAAGTCCTTCAAATAGCCGTAACATATGTTTGGCAGTATTTCCGGTGCGTCTAATTTCTCATCATTAATGAATTCATACATCTTGGTCGTGGTGTGTTCGCCCAGATTTGTGATGGTTATTATTGCAAAATAGTTGGCCAGTGCTCTGAAAAACACACAATAATCATTAGATTCATTAGATATAATGTTATTTAAAAAATCTATTATCTATTTGTATACCTCTTTTCAGTTGTGCGGATAATTTCCGGGAACTTCTGCACAAAATTAATGTCCGGAATAAATATAGTGTCTTCCGGTCCCAAATTGGGAAATATCTTTCTCAACAGACTTTCCCATTGAAATGTGGGGTATATTACGAACAGATCCTTGACTTTGAATTTGAATTCATTGTAATGTTTCATATAATAATCAGTAGAAATTGTTTTAGTTTTTGCGTTTTGAAATTTGGTCACCATTTGTGTTGTTGCGCTTAAATCGGCTAATAATTCAGTTTCATTGATCACCACTTTGTTATTGTATATCATTTGGATAAATGTCTTAACTATATTCAAATACTGGTCTTCGTTCGCTTGGTTTGCGTTTTCAAATTGTATAGTATTTTGTTTGTCTCTCTTATTGCTATAACTCTCAGAGCCTTTACTCGTTGCGAAATGCGGTCCAATCTATATATTTAAATAAAAAATATTTTAATTAATTGCTTTATTGCCTTTAATTAAAAATTTCATTAATATTTTTAGCAGCACTTAAACAGCGGTTGAAACACTTTATTTAAAAGTCATAATTGAAAATTTAATTAAATCGACGGCAAAATAATTAAAATAAATTATATCTCATCTAATATTGTGGACTATTCATGAGAGAGAGAGAGAGAGAGAGATCCACAACAATATATTGGGATATATTTTGTT